CGCCTTGCTCGACACCGTCTTCACGGTGCGGATGCTCCGCCTGTCGAAGCGCGTCTCGATTCGCGGCGCGGATGGCCTGCACGTCGTTTTCAACAGCTTCTCCTTCACCGACGGGCCGCCGCCGCCCGGCTGCGCGCCAGGCGCACAGCCGCCGCAGCCAGCGCGCCTCGAGCTGGCGGCCGGCGGGGAGAGGAGCGGCGTGCTGCCGCTGCCGCCGCCGCCCGGGAGCGTGGCGGGCGTCGACTGCTCCGCCGATTCGCGGCCGCTCAGCGTGCAGCTCGAGGTGGCGATGCACAGCAGCAGTAGTGGCTGTAGTGGCGGCGGACCCCGCGGCCACGCCCGAGCGGCTCTCACCCCGGCGCGGCCAACCACAGGTGGCGATCCACAACCCGTCGAGCTTCGCCTTCCTGCCGCTCGGCTCGGTCGAGATGCTCATCCAGTCGGCCGACCTCCAGCCCTTCGCGCGCTGCACCACGGTCGCCCCCATCGGGCTGCCCCACGGCAACTCCACCATCATGCTCACCGGCACCATCAACGTCGGCCAGAGCGATGCCAACCGGCTCGCCTTCTCGGGCGCACAAGGGGTGCGGGTGAGCGGCGTCTCCTCACACCCATCGCTGTGAGCAGGCGCGCCTTCTCCGGCGCCCTCGAGAAGCTCCTCGCTGGCAAGCCGACGCCGCTCGAGCCCTCCTTCGCGCGCGTCTCCACCGCCCTCTATGACTCCGCCCTCGGCGGCCTCACCGTCCCCGCCGACCTTCCGGGCCTTCCGGGCGGCGGCGCGCGCATCTTCAACCGCGTCTCGCTCCTGCTCGACCCGGCAGCGAACCTATTCGAGCTCGCGGGTCGGCCCATCTGGGGCAACTCGCTGCACGACGCCGCGCGCTTGGACGTGACCAACCCGTTCAACGTCGCCGTGCCGCGCCTCGTCAGCCTCTGCACAGTGCGGCGCGTGTGAGCGGCGCCGCTCACACGCGTAGGTCACCCTCGCCGTGCTCGGCCTCTCCGCCTCCGTCGAGTACGAGGGCGAGGCCATCGCGAGCGTCGTCGTCCCGCAGCTGCTGCCGCCGGTGCTGCTGCCGCCGCTCTGGAGTGGCGTCGTCGACCGGCGCCCTCCCCCGTCGAGCTCGAGCGAGCGGGAGCAGCGTCGTCTCACGCTCCGCGCTGCGAACAGGCGCTTTCCCGTCGAGCTCGACGCGCCGATCGCCAAGCTCCAGGCGCCGCTCGGCCGTCCCTCGCCAACTGGTGTCCTCGTGAGCTGGCCCCTCATCAAAAACTGGCGGGTTGTCAGGCGCTGCTGGGCCGCCTCGCGTTTGGGTCCGTCGCCGTCTCGCTGCGCGCCAACATCACGCTGCGCACGGGCAACCTGACCAACCTCACCGTCGCGTACAGACAGGAGAATGTGAGCGTGGCGCTCGGGCGGTGACACGCCGCCGGGCCGTGTGCCTGTCCGTGGCTATAGCCAGGTCGCCCCTCGGCACCAAGCTACCTCGCCTCCTGTCTCTCCCTATCTTTGCCGTGGCCGCAGCACACGCTCCACTCCGCACGCTCGGCCCAGCAGCTCCACTCCTAGCACCTCTCTACCTTGTCGAGTATTCGGTGCCGCTGCACTCTCGAAAAAGTGTATTTTCTCGGTTTAGGAAATTATTTTTTGCACAGTGTACCTGTGTTAGTGCCAGTGCGCGCCAGTCCCGTGAACTGTGTTGTGCTCGCAGGCTAAATTCTTTTTTGCCGCGCCGACAGGAGCGACTGGCTCTGCAGCCGCAACTGCCCATTAAAAGGCGCCTCATCGCTCGGCGGTGGCACGGGGTGCCATCGCGCCACACATGGCCCACTCTGGACCGTTCCGATGCCAGTGCGGCCAGATACACGCCGACCAGTACGACGGGCCGACCAACGACCTTCTGCCGTACATCGACACGGCCGGCGTGAGCGCGCTCAACGAGTCGGAGGCGGGCGCGTGCAGGCGCATCTTCCGGCCGTTTGACCAGAGGCTGCAGCGCGACGCGTGGCTGCAGTCGGAGGACGATGACCCGCAGCTGCTCATCACGATCCCGTTCACGTCTCCAGTCAAGATCCAGTCCCTGACGGTGATCGGCGGGGCGGACGGCAGCGCACCGCGCGAACTGCGCGCATACATCAACCAGGAGGCGCTCGACTTTGACGACGCGGACCGGATGATGGCGGTGCAGACCTGGCAGCTGCAGGAGGGCGACGCGGAGGGGCGGATAGAGTACCCGACGCAGTTCTCGCGCTTTCAGAACGTGTCGAGGCTCCACTTGCTCGTG